TAAATGTTTATGTATGATGCTATAATGTTTGCTATGTAAAAAAAAAAAATCAAATTTTTTTATTCATAAGTATGTATTGGTTTATAGTTCATTGTCTGTAATGCTCTAACAGTCAATGCCACAACTAAATCAAACATAATCATGATGATATGTGTATTTCATTTTCCCTATCTGAATTAATAGTGAAAAAATAGTTCATAGACTGTAAGCGAATAATTTCAAAGCAACAGGACTCCCAAAAATCATCAATTCTGTGAATTTCTGGACCGATACGAAATTATTTTTAAGTGAACGAAAATCAATGCACCTTGTATTGTTTTAATTATCTCTTCTGATGAATGATCGACCGTTGAATGCTTATGTATTTGTTATAGAAACGTTGAAAATTTTTCTGAAGATATAATATTCGATTTATTGGCTTTTGTATAACAAAAAATCAATTGATTGGAAGGACCATTGCTTGTAGGCAAACTTTATAAAGAGAGTAAAGGAAATTGAAAAAAATATTATACGATTTCTAAGTTCTTTTGCGTGAATGCTGTTGCAACATGAGAGTGGAACCTAACATTCTGTGTGTTGATTTTCAAAATTTCTTATGAAATCAGAAAAAATGTCAATCCTTTTATTTTTACCAATAATTTTTATAATTCATAATTTTTTTGGAAATTTTTAATGTTTTTCTATTTTTAATCTTTTTCTTGCATAAATGAAACCAATTTTAAAGAATTTAAATCGATAAAATAAGTTTAAATTTGAAGATTAACTATTTTATAATTGTATTTTCAAATTTTGATTATGAATAATTTAGATTTTAGAAAATCATTATAACTGTAAGAGAGAACAATGAAACATAACAAAAATTTATTTTGATAGCTTATGCTATTAATATTAATATACATTCTATCTTGAATAAATGCTTGTATTTAAAAAATATGTAAAAATAGTCATTTATTTTAGTAAATTAAAGGGTATTAGATGGTATTAAGATATTCTTCACGATATTGCCTTTTGATTATTTATAAAATAGGAAGTGCTCATGATGCGCATAAATCGGTATTAAGGGAGTGATTCTTGGTATAAATTACATTACAACAATTGAAGTTAATTCTATTGACTGTTATTGTTGCTATACGAGCTAATTTCGGGGATATTCCTTCATAATCTTAAGGATTTTTACGGTTTATATTTATCAAATTCTTTCGGACGTTGGTTCATTTCTTATCCAAAAGTCATGCGGATTAGGTGCGTAATTTTTTTTTTAATTTTATTTTTTCAATTTAACGTTATTAACATCATTATTTCTAAGCGATATTATTCATTCAAGTGATAGATACGGGAAACAATGCATGCTTGGTTTTAAATTGCGGAATATGGTGAAGATTATTGAAACAATCTAAATTCTGTTATGCCATCTATATAAAATTGCTGGTTTTCTACTAGTTCATATGATTCCTAGGGATTTGTTCTGTTTTTACTATCAGATGAACGTAAAAGCAAAAATAAACGTCACTTTTTTTGACATACAATCAATTGATTTTTAAAGCAGTCACATATCAGCACACTAATTTTTCCAAAAATGATTAATGCAATCTCAAAAAATTTGGTCACTTTTTATGAACTTGCTATTTTTTTCTTTCCTTTTCTTATCAAAAGAATATGCGGCCGATCTCCCATCTTCATGGTATTTTTATATCTCAACTCATGATAATATTTTCCTCAATTTATATTCCTCGAATTGCAAATCATCTCAAAAATCAAATCCTAAGTTCAACCAAGCAGCAAGATACTTCAACGATGTACCATTTATAAGCGTAAATTGCGATTTCAATCCATCAGTATGCAATTTTTTTCATGCTTATTCAACGCCATCATTCATTTTAAAGAAATATAATATTTCTGAACCTATCGAGTTTATAGGTAAGCGAACCGTGAACGAATTCATAAATTTTATTGAAATGGCAACAGGAAAATCCAGTACTTTCTCTTCAAATCAACTAAAAGTATTAACACTATATACAATTGACAATTTCATTCAAAACAATAAGTATGCACTAGTACTTTTTAAGAACGGATTTTCCTACATCAACGTTTTGAATAAGATCATTCGAATGCTAACAAATGTTTATGAGAACACTGATATTAAATTCGGTGAAATCAATTGTATTAATTACTATTCTTCGTGCGATAAATTCAATAATTATGCTAATTTAGCTTTATTTAAAGATGGCAAGCAAACTCATTTATTTAAAACACTTAATTGGAATACAATTCTTGACAAAATAAATTCAGAGTGCAATTTTAGCAAAATGTCTACTGGATTTACAAATGTTAATGTATCCGACAAAATTAAAAGTGAGATTGAACAATATGTCGACACAAAAGACATAGAATACATTACTGATAATTTCCTGCAGAATATAATATATAAAATGCAAGAGAATCCAAATCTTACAATAGATTATTTCCACAACCAATTTGTTCATCTTGTATCAAATGCATATGCAAGCAGAGATGTTTTAGATGAATTATACAAGAAAATGAAGATTTTGGAATATTTTTCTGAATATAATAACTCAAAAATAAATTTGCATGATGAAGACGAGATAAAATATTAGAAACACACGCCTTTGTGAATTCGTTATTAATTTAATTTATTTTTTCTTATATTATTGTAAATATATCTATCTATTTACACTTAAACAATATTTGTTTTTTGGAATATGACATAGCTGTACTATTTATTTTTTCAAAGCTTTGAGTCTTTAAATATCCTAAGATAAAATGAAGATTCAAGGGTAGAAGTGCTAAAATATAAAGATACATTATGCAAACTTAACAGTCACCTACCCGAAATCAAGAAAGGAAGAATCAAAACCAGTTCAACCATAATTATTATATTTGCCGTTTGAATCTCAATTTTGAAAGTAATTGAGAGTGATTTCGTAATAAATAATATTCACAAAAATAAATTAGACAAATCTATCAAGTAATAAAAGATAGCTTGTGCAATAAAAATTCATATTTTAAGGGAGATCTTCCATTATCTTAAAGTTCTTTTTCCTCAATTTGAAGCTGTTTGAAATTTTCATGAATAACTGCGTTCTTTAATAACCCATTGGGGTAATATGCTTGCTGGTAGAAGTTCGGAATTAAAATGGCTATGTAACGGATAAAAATTGTAAAAAAACGTTTTTTTGAGGATATTCAAAAAATGAAGCCCCGCGCTTTCCGTGATATGAGACCCTCCATGCTGAAAAACCCACTTCTCAGCCGTAATAAGGTAGGACATGCACCACCATCTACTCATGACCTTCCTCCGGAGGATTTCAGGTACGGATGCAGGACTAAAGTTGGTGATGGTGTTAAAGAGATGTTCCAGAACTGGGAAAAGGTTGATAACCCACCAGAGCAATTACCTTCAACACGTAGAACAACTGAATTTAAACCCAGCAATGACTATATAGCTACCAATCGTGCTGCTATCAGACATGGATGCCGCACAGCCAAAGAATTTAGAGAGTACCAGCAGAATCACCCAATTATGAAGAAACCAGAAATGCTGACGGCGCAATGGAATCAAAATCAGACTTCCACACACGTGTTGTTAACATGACCCATGGTATGCCAACACCTGTTACATCCGAGATGAAAGATTGCCTTACATGGAAATTTGGACGTGATGCAAAAGAAAGGGCACTTGCTAAGCGTCAAATGGAGGCTTCGATGAGAACACGATCTAGTTCAACTTCAAGACGTGCTACGTTGACTAGAGCTTCTCGTCCAACTCGTGCATCTGTTGGACATACAAAAGTAGCTTACGTTCCTCCAAAGGAATCTGATACATTCAAGATCAAAAGATTCGCAGATATTGATCATTATGCTATTGTTGACTACTGGGATTAAATTTTTTTCATCTTCTATAATTATGAGTAAAAAATAACTTTAAATGTTCAATCTAAGCTTACATAAACCAAGTGGAATCGTTTTAGGAAGAAAATAGACTTTTTATAGATAACGAAATCATGATGACAATTCTTTTCAAATCATACTCATAAAACTCAGAATACACACATTAGCTTTTAGTAGCAAGATATAATTATAACTAAATGTATGCATATTTTATTTTTGAAACAAAATAACAATTGAAAAGTATGAGAAATGTTGAAAAGAATAGAAAAAGTTACATGAGAATTGAACAGTGTAGAGGAGAGTGATAGCAATAGCACCATGACCGGTGTGGCCTGTTTCTTTGTAGCCATATGGAGAAGAGAATTCACTAAGATAGTCTTTAACTTTAACATCTGTGAAATAAAGTCCACTTGGATGGAAAGATGTTTGCAACATCCTATATTCAGAACTTGATTTCGATGTTTCATCGATCGTCATAAATCCATTATATCCTGACACATATGACGATCCACCGGCACCAGAAGTGATAGTATCCCATCCATCATCTCCTGCACCGCCTCCAAAATACCCACACCCACCACCTGAACCATAAATTCCTACTTTCCGAACATTACCACCTTTCCCAAATTCTCCTGGAAATCCTGTTGTTTTATCTCCATTTGAATGAGTTCCATTTGAAGCTTTCCCACCTCTATCTCGCTGGCCACCCTCAGAGATAGTAATTGAATATTCATATCTTATTGAAGCTTTGCTTCCGTTCTGTCCTGAAAAAATACCACCATTCCCACCAGGACAACTATATGAAGTAATTGAAGAAGCACCAGCACCACCAGAACTAACAATGATTCTGGATTTCAGTGATTCAAAATCTGTGCCGTTCTTAAGTCGGATATCACTACAGCCGCCGCCGCTCGATGAGTCTGTAGTGTTGACACCGGAACCGCCGCCGTTATATGGATTCAGTGAGTCTGCTTGTGAACCATGTGAACCAATATAGAGATAGAATGTTTGAGTGTGGAAGAGTCTGATAACACCTGATGTGTATGAACCAAGGCCGCCTGTAGCACTCGTGACATTGCCACCACTAGCACCCCAGACTTCGAAAAGGTAACTTCCTGCTGGTAAGTCAACCTTTGTAGGATGACATGTATGTGTGTCTTCTGGACATGGGTAGTCGTAAACACGACGAAACTTATCTTGGAATATTGATGTTATCTATAGTGAATCTCAGTTAAAAGGCATTAAAAAAATGAACTTTTATCGGACACATTTCCATCAACTTAACAAACATATATCGAATACTATTTTTGACAAATCTACAAAATATTAGATCAATTAGAAAATTATTTTCACAAAACAGCAAATATGGCGGCATATTCGATATATTATCTATTTTTATAAAAAAACATATTATCTCACAAAGTATGAATCAGAAATCAAATCATTTCTGAAATTTATCTCTGTAAGTAATATCAGGAATAGTTTATATGATATGTACCTAAGCAGAACAGCAGAGAACGACGTTGTCCTGCCAAAAAAGAAGAATAAAAAGAAAAAAAGAACTTGAAATTAAGGATAGAAGGATAGTATGTTTATTATTAATATTAGTATTAGTATTAATATATATAGTATGTGTACATAGTTATATAACGATTAAGCAGATGCTGTCTTTGCTGCCTTGTTAGATCTGTAGTTGATGATCTCGGACGTGTCAACTTTTCTTTCGCTGATGAGCTGGATCGTTGTCAAGAGTGGGAACTTGTCTGTTGCATTGCGTTCTTCTAAGATCTTGTAGACCTCTGCAGCGGCAAGTGTACCTTGAAGTTTCTGACCATTAAGAAGTTCTGATTCGCACTCTTTGAATGACTTGCCTGACTTGACAAAGTACTCGGCGCACTTCCTGTTACGGCCACCGTATGATGAGGCAACAATGTCGCCGAAACCACATGACTCAATCATTGTGAGGATGTCGACGCCTCTGTCTGGGAACATCATCTTGGCGAACTCGTAGATCTCGACGAAGCCTTCACGGAGGATTGCTGCCTTTGTTGACTGACCCATGTTAAGGCCATCAACAATGCCGCCGCCGATGGCAATGATGTTCTTCATTGTGCCACTCAACTGCTGTGTAACAATGTCGTTGGTGCATGAGATCTTGAACTTTGGTGAGTCGAAGAGCTGCTTCCATGTATCGCGCTCTGGGATGTCTGGGAATGCTAATGTTGACTCGCAGAAGTCACCGCGAGCAATCTCGTTTGCAATGTTGGCACCCATGAGAGAACCGCACTTGATGCCGAGGATTTCTTCGACTGTGTCTGTGAGGAGCTGGATCTTGCCATCCTTGAAGTTGATTCCCTTTGTGAGGAGGCAACCTGTAGCAGTCTTCTTGACGTGGCCTTTCATCTTCTCGAGTGTTGCTGGGAGGAACTGGTGTGGAACGACGAAGATGAAGAAATCTGCGTCACAACATTCGACGACGTCGCCAATTGCTTCGACGTTTTCGCCGAGGTTGTATCCTGGGAGATACTTGATATTCTCGTGTGTAGTGTTGATAGTGTGGATAAGAGATTCGCCATTGACGACTTCTTCGAGAACCCACATCTTAATGTGTTGATCCATTGATGGAACATTCTTGATGTTAGCTGCACAGTGGCGTGCAATGCAGCTGCCGAAGTTTCCGGAACCGATGAAGCTTAACTTGTATGACATTATCTAAAAATGATTGTTTTTTTCCAAAATTTTGCATCACTATCAATTTCTGTGTGCGTTCAAAATATTCTGAAGATATGGACCAAATTGCTTTCAAAACTTGCATAACTTATCAAAAAATTTCTTAAAACCAATCAGATTATGGCTCTACATCATGAGTAATTATGCATTTTTCTTAGAAAAACGCATGAATGAAAACAATCATAATCGTTTTCATTTGTAAAGAACCGCCAATCATCAATGATGGTTAAATTTGCATATGTTTATGCTGAGCATATTCATTTTTCAACGTGACATTCGAATAGACATAAACTTCTAAAATCAAAATTCAGATGTTTACAAAATAAAAATTAAAATTCAATGAGCTCATTCAATTTTAATTTTGAATCAACAAAAATTTTTCATAAATAATATATATTATTTAGTTATCAAATAATTATTTTTATTTTCTTAAGTTTACATTTCTAATTAAGAAAATCAATAAAATTCTCTATTTTCAACTTTACCAAATTACATTATAAAAAAGCTTTATATTTTTAATCAAAAATCCAGAATAATTCGATTTTTATTTCAAGCTGATTTCTTCCTTCTGAAAATAACTGTAGTTCTCACAATTTCATCATCTCCAAGTTCAAAACTTCAATATGTTCCTCTTTTGTTTTGTTGTTATAGTAATTTTTCAAAAAGTCCTGAATGATGGTATAGTAAGAATATCTTACACTAAAGTATCAATAAGTGTATCTCCTTTAGCTGCTTCTTCATTAATATTTTCAGTGCAAGTTTGATCTCGTTCTCCAAATCTAGCACGAAGAGATCCATCCATTGAGACCTCCTTTACGGATTCAAAGATAATTCTTTGAGTGTTTCTATTCCAGAAAAAGTCAGAAATTCCATTATATCCGATCAATAAAAGAATTTCGTATAAAATTCGGTATAGTGTCTTAGGAAATGTATTGAAAGTAGCCGAATCACCATAATATGCACGTCTGGTCATACCACTAACTTCAAACACGTCATAAGAACTATAATACTGAGAAGCTTCTTTAACTTTGTTTGCAGCAGCAGTCAAGGCACGCTCTATCTCTAATCTCATGTTTTCATTATAAACGTAACGTGGATAACAGCAGTAAATTACTTTTTGGTTTTGAATTTGATCAAGATTTCCGTTTTCTTGCCATGTCGAATAGTTTATTGGTTCAAATTCTCTTTTATCAATGCTGTATCCATCATCCTTCTTGTGGAAGGCGATACCTATCGCTTTTGGAGTTGCTGGGATAGAAGCGTTTTCTTCCATAATAGATTGGAGCTCTTCTCTGGATACACGAGGTGCACGAACATCTCTAAGGAATCTGACACAGTCATACGTGTTTTCTATCTTTTCTTCTGTGAGACCACAACAAACTTCTTCTTCTGCCTGAATTGGATCATAAGTCCCAGATTTGCAGTATGAGCAACATGAACAGCACTCGCAACAGTTATTATTGCTTCTTGCACGATTCATTGCATGACTTTCTTTTGTCAGGTTAGACATGGAATTAGTACAGCATTCTGGACCACCTGCACAAGGAGATACTCTTACAAGGATATAAAATGCTATGAATAGTGATGATCCTAAAGATAGAAAAGCAATTGCAGCTGCAGCTACTGGAACCATAACTAAGCATATACTTGATTGAACAATAGCAGCAATGCATATGTTTATGCCAATGTTGGATATCCATGTGCATAAAGGAACATTTGTGTCTGTAATGCAAGCAAAAATCCAAAATACAATTGTAGGGACGCAAAACATGATCATAGTAACTGGGAAAATCTTTCCTTTATAACACAATTGATAAGGTGTGTCGCCTACGCATTTTCCGACGATTTTATTATTGGTTCCGTTATATTCTATGCAGTGACCCTCGCAAGGACTATCCTCACAGCATACATATCCTTCTTGCAATGAACTTTCATTGCAATATGCTGAAAATGCACTGAGAACTAAAGCAAAAAACATTGAAAATAGTGGTTTTATGTTTGTCAAATTTCCATAATTTTAAATATTATTGAACTTAATCTACTATTGACTAAGACTATTTTTTGGTTATCGATTGTTTTTCTGAGATTGTAAATTGAAAAACAACGTTGCGCGTTATCAATTTTTTTACTTGCATTTTACATTGTTTCTAAAAATTAATGTATTTAGTTACACTGTCGGTACTGCTACACTCTTCAAATTCACATGATATATGCCAGACTAGACGAATTTTCCAAAAAATATTTTTCTATTTCTTGATATCAGATTTTGCATATTATATTTCGATTATTCTAAGATTTTTCATAACACTTTTATTTTAAAAATCTTTTTCATATGAAAAATTCTTATATATAATCATGAAAAAAATATTTCTCTTATAAATAGAACAACATCCGTACCTCTACATCAGCTGAAACATTAAATAATATGGGTATAAATATAAAATTATTTTAACGTTTGAATTAAATTTAGAAATGTTTGACCATCTTTGGATTCTTATACATGAAAGCAGATACAAATAATGTGAAAAAATAAATCACTAGTTAAATACGTATTCTTATGCTTTTATTCATTGATTACAAATTTTGATTAAAAATTCAATTAATTCAAATAATTGAGAGCAATCTGTCATTCAACGTCAAATTTTATTTGGTCCGGTGATAGTGCAACGTTTTCCCTCTTTCTAAACATAATAGTACCGAGTTCCAGTAATAATTTGATATATACATATCCTTCTAATAACACATTGATCAATGACTGCTCTTGAAATTATATCAAATAACTCTGATAATAATATGTTATATTTTATGAGTTGAACATCACAATATTGGATTTTTGCAATATGAACATCCTTTAATCGCTAGTAAATCATTGTTTCATACCAATAACGTGGATCGATTCCTTTTAGATGATCAGATAAAGCAAAAACAATATACTCAGATGCCACTTTTTTTGGTCTAAAAAATGAGTTTCCCCTTTTCTGATATTTGTATTTGTAATCATAAGAAGTACATGTTATTATAATTTAATAAAGAAGATGTAAATTATTAGTCACGTTTTAGTGATGCGATGAATGAATAGGTCGGATGGAAGAAAACAGCTCCCAGGCTCAACAACCGAGTAGCCAAGCTGAAAATGCTGATAACGCATCACAGTATGATGCAATCGATACGTTAAATCGATTATCAGAGCTTATCAAAGTTTTTGAACCTTTATCTGATATACTTTCCATTAAAATGGAAACAATCAAGCTCTCTTCAGCCATATTTACTAAGAATACAGCCAATATCGAAGAGCGAAACTCAGATTTTCAGAAAAAATCTGAAATCAAATCAAGAAAAATCCGAAAATTATCAGAGTACGCCTCTAAACTACTCGAACATACTAATACCTATCACAAAAAAGAGGTCGAACTTCAAGCAGAAGTCGAAGAACAAGAAGCAAAGTTTAAAGATTTGAAATCAAGCGTAGACAACCTCCAGGATACGATCAATCGCAACTACAATGATATATTTGTAACAAATAATATCATTGGCGAGGTTTCTCGCTCGATTTCCGAATCAATTTTATCAAAAAATAATATTTCTGAGGACATCGTTAAGAACAACGCCAATACTACCAAAGCCAAAGAAGAACTGACAGATATAAACTCAAAGATCAAAGATCTCGTCAATTCTCTGCAAAAACAAGAAAATGAAAAACAAGATCTTGAAAATCAACTGAATCAAAGGCGTTCCCAGCTCAGATCAGCCAAACTCAGCCTTACTACTGATGAAACCAGCGCCAAATCCATAAGCCAGAAGCTACAACAGACAATTTCGGAAATTCCAAATCTCCAAAACCGTTTAAACGAAATTGTAGCACTCCAGAACGAGAGAATTGCATTGCAAGAAGGATTCCAGAACGAAATCACCGAAGTCAAAGAGTCTACTGATAAATTAGAAAAAGAAATTTCAAAATTACAAAAAATCAATGAAGAAAGGACCAAAACTAATCAAGAAATGAACCAAAAAGTTACTGATCTCGATACTCATCTCAATGAAATCCAAGAAGAGCAAAAATCTTCAGATGAAAATTTGGATAAAATTATTCAAAAATTCCAAGAGATGAAAGAGTCACATGATGCAAAGATGTCCCAAATAAACGCGTACATCGAGTCAATCAGAATCAAATCTGCTTCTTTAGAGCAAGAAATAGCTTCATTTGACTCTTCAAAGCCAACGAGCACCGAAATTAAACAGGAACCGAAGAAGACACAAACTACTCGATCAAGACTTTTCCCTTCTCAATTTTAAAATAAAAAACTTTTTAATTTTTTTTTAATTTATCTTTATTTTTTCTTTAATTACTTAAGTTTAGCCAGATATAGGTAAATCATAAAGATGAAACATTTTTAATCATAAAATTTTGATATTTTCTGGAATTTCAGTTGAATTTGAAAGAATGTGAGTTCAAGAAAGCTTAAAATGCTATTGTATACATAAACAACTTCATAGCGAAGTGCAGTTACTTCCATTCGGTGTTCTTATTTTAAAAATGAGTAACAAAATTCCAATTGAGATTTCTTCTCCAACAACACTCTTATCTTCAATGTTAGAAACAAAACTATAGTTGCGATTACTTATACTCTATGCTTGCATTTTTCATATGAGTAATAAAATTCAAATTGGGATTTCTTCTCTATCCATGTTCTTATCTTCAATATGAGAAACAAAGGATAGTTGTGATTACTACTACTCTATGCTCTTATTTTTAATTTGAGGAACAAAACACGAAATAAGACTTTATATATATATCATCTCTATTTTAATAACGTAAGCCTCAAATTTTCTCAGATGTTATCTTAATTAAGCATTACATTGGATTAATAATAAAATTTCTTCTTAAACATGTATTTTATTCTAGCAAACGGGCTACCAGTAGCTAACAATATAGAAATTTGAGGACTGCACAACTCATATATAATGTAATTTCGATCAGAAATTTTTTATATTTGAGATATCAGGAATAAACATGCGTTTATAGCATACAACCTTCAATATACCATAATATATTCTCTATAACTAATGAATTTTCAATCAAGCTTAAAAAAAAATTATAACAAGATGTAGAACATACATTGAAAGTACAAGTACATTGCACCATAAGATAATAAATAGCTCTTTTTTGTCATTCCATTGAACTCGAATTGATCATATGAAGTTTGATTTGATAAAATATTTTGAACCTTTTCAAGAGCAGCAGAATTGGCACGTTGTATCTCTTCTTTCATGTTTTCATGATATATATAATGAGGATTGCATCTGTAAATAACTTTTTTCTTTGTAATTTTTTCAATAACTCCATTTTCTTGCCATGAACCATATTGTATAGGTTCAACCTCCTTTTGAACTACTTTATAGATCGCTTTTGTCTTATAAAATGCAATTCCGGCAGATTTGGGAGTTGGTGGAAGATTTGCATTTTCATCAATGATCATTTGAAGTTCGAATCTATTGACATGAGGTGAACGAGATTCTCTAAGGAATCTAACACAATCACATGTATTTAGAGCAGTATCTTCCGTCATACCACAACAATATTCATCATTTATTTCAAATGGATCGTAAGGTTTTGATACACAGAACGAAGAGTAGCATGGACATGATTGCGCCATTGCTTCTGTATGCGTATGATTTACCATTTGGTTTTCTTTAACTAAATCACTAAAACTTTCGTCATTTCCGCATTCTGGACCACCCGAACATGGAGCAACACGTATAAATGAATATACACCTAGAAACAGAGAAAATCCACCAATAATAAATCCAAGTGGCACACCGCCTGTGATAATGACCAAACAAGGAATTGATAAAACAATTGCAGCTAAACAAATATTTAGAATGATATTAGTAATCCATGTGCATAATGGAACATTTGTCTTGGTCATACATGATATAACCCAAAATAAAATTGTAGGAATGCAAAATCCTAGCATAATTGCTGGATACATGTATCCTGTATAACAAACATGATATTGTATTTCTGTAATACATTCTTTTTTACTGCGATTTTCATATATGTCAATTTGAACACAACGACCTTTACATGGATTATCTTCGCAACATACGTAACCTGGATCTAATGAACTTTCATTGCAATTCTCGGCTCTACAACTAAAAAAGAATACAAAAAACATGGAAAATAATTGTGTAAAATATAATTCCATCGGATCTCTTTTCAATTTTCTGGGTAACTTATTTTGTTGGAAAGGAACTGATTTCCATGAAGGAATAATTGATTCCGGAATAAATAGGATCCGCTTTGAATTATTTTATGGCCCACAATTTTTGAAAGAGATTTTTCATAATGATCGCGTCTTACACAAATGATATTCTGCAGCTATAAATGTTTATTCCAATTGTATTAAGACATTATGATGGCAAAAAATCAAATGAGCAACAAACTGTAAGAAATTCCTCGATTCATTTTTCAGCATTTTAACATATCTATATTATAATGGTATTATAGAATTCAAGTATACGATAACAAAAAAGAATGGTGTTTAAAATTATCTATAATAACATTAAAAAAATATTATTTCCCATATTAATTTATTAAAATTATCATTATAGATCATTTTATGCTCAATCATACAATGATACAATATAGAATCAAGATAAATCCATGTATTTTATTTCAATGAATATAATATTTGAAATATAATTGGATTATAAAAAGAGTTACACGTTGAGTGTTCCATTTCAACATATCAAAAATAATTAAAAGCAATAAATAAGAAACAGCTTTTATTTAAGAAACATTATAAAAATGGAAAAGTATGAGAAATGTTGAAAAGAATAGAAAAAATTACATGAGAGTTGAACAGTGTATAGGAGAGTAATAGCGATAGTACCATGGCCGGTGTGGCCTGTTTCTTTGTAGCCATATGAAGAAGAGAATTCACTAAGATAGTCTTTAACTTTAACATCTGTGAAATAAAGTCCACTTGGATGGAAAGATGTTTGTAACATCCTATATTCAGAACTTGATTTCGATGTTTCATCGATCGTCATAAATCCATTATATCCTGATACATATGACGATCCACCGGCACCAGATGTAACAGTATCTGTTCCATCATTTCCAGCGCCTCCACCGAAATACCCACATCCACCACCTGAACCATAAACTCCTCCTTTCCTAACATCACCACCTTTCCCAAATTCTCCTGGAAATCCTTTCGATTTATCTCCAGTTACATGTGTTCCATTGGAAGCACTACCACCTCTATCAAGTTGGCCACCTTCAGAGATGGTGACTGAATTCTCACTTGATGTAAATATTCTCTTTCCGTTGAATCCTGATAAGATACCACCACTAGCACCATTTGAATAAACTTCATAAAAACTAATAGCACCAGCACTACCAGAACTAACGATGATTCTGGATTTCAGTGATTCAAAATCTGTGCCGTTCTTAAGTCGGATATCACTACAGCCGCCGCCGCTCGATGAGTCTGTAGTGTTGACACCGGAACCGCCGCCGTTATATGGATTCAGTGAGTCTGCTTGTGAACCATGTGAACCAATATAGAGATAGAATGTTTGAGTGTGGAAGAGTCTGATAACACCTGATGTGTATGAACCAAGGCCGCCTGTAGCACTCGTGACATTGCCACCACTAGCACCCCAGACTTCGAAAAGGTAACTTCCTGCTGGTAAGTCAACCTTTGTAGGATGACATGTATGTGTGTCTTCTGGACATGGGTAGTCGTAAACACGACGAAACTTATCTTGGAATATTGATGTTATCTATAGTGAATCTCAGTTAAAAGGCATTAAAAAAATGAACTTTTATCGGACACATTTCCATCAACTTAACAAACATATATCGAATACTATTTTTGACAAATCTACAAAATATTAGATCAATTAGAAAATTATTTTCACAAAACAGCAAATATGGCGGCATATTCGATATATTATCTATTTTTATAAAAAAACATATTATCTCACAAAGTATGAATCAGAAATCAAATCATTTCTGAAATTTATCTCTGTAAGTAATATCAGGAATAGTTTATATGATATGTACCTAAGCAGAACAGCAGAGAACGACGTTGTCCTGCCAAAAAAGAAGAATAAAAAGAAAAAAAGAACTTGAAATTAAGGATAGAAGGATAGTATGTTTATTATTAATATTAGTATTAATATATATATAGTATGTGTACATAGTTATATAACGATTAGGCAGATGCTGTCTTTGCTGCCTTGTTAGATCTGTAGTTGATGATCTCGGACGTGTCAACTTTTCTTTCGCTGATGAGCTGGATCGTTGTCAAGAGTGGGAACTTGTCTGTTGCATTGCGTTCTTCTAAGATCTTGTAGACCTCTGCAGCGGCAAGTGTACCTTGAAGTTTCTGACCATTAAGAAGTTCTGATTCGCACTCTTTGAATGACTTGCCTGACTTGACAAAGTACTCGGCGCACTTCCTGTTACGGCCACCGTATGATGAGGCAACAATGTCGCCGAAACCACATGACTCAATCATTGTGAGGATGTCGACGCCTCTGTCTGGGAACATCATCTTGGCGAACTCGTAGATCTCGACGAAGCCTTCACGGAGGATTGCTGCCTTTGTTGACTGACCCATGTTAAGGCCATCAACAATGCCGCCGCCGATGGCAATGATGTTCTTCATTGTGCCACTCAACTGCTGTGTAACAATGTCGTTGGTGCATGAGATCTTGAACTTTGGTGAGTCGAAGAGCTGCTTCCATGTATCGCGCTCTGGGATGTCTGGGAATGCTAATGTTGACTCGCAGAAGTCACCGCGAGCAATCTCGTTAGCAATGTTGGCACCCATGAGAGAACCGCACTTGATGCCGAGGATTTCTTCGACTGTGTCTGTGAGGAGCTGGATCTTGCCATCCTTGAAGTTGATTCCCTTTGTGAGGAGGCAACCTGTAGCAGTCTTCTTGACGTGGCCTTTCATCTTCTCGAGTGTTGCTGGGAGGAACTGGTGTGGAACGACGAAGATGAAGAAATCTGCGTCACAACATTCGACGACGTCGCCAATTGCTTCGACGTTTTCGCCGAGGTTGTATCCTGGGAGATACTTGATATTCTCGTGTGTAGTGTTGATAGTGTGGATAAGAGATTCGCCATTGACGACTTCTTCGAGAACCCACATCTTAATGTGTTGATCCATTGATGGAACATTCTTGATGTTAGCTGCACAGTGGCGTGCAATGCAGCTGCCGAAGTTTCCGGAACCGATGATGCTTAACTTGTATGACATTATCTAAAAATGATTGTTTTTTTCCAAAATTTTGCATCACTATCAATTTCTGTGTGCGTTCAAAATATTCTGAAGATATGGACCAAATTGCTTTCAAAACTTGCATAACTTATCAAAAAATTTCTTAAAACCAATCAGATTATGGCTCTACATCATGAGTAATTATGCATTTTTCTTAGAAAAACGCATGAATGAAAACAATCATAATCGTTTTCATTTGTAAAGAACCGCCAATCATCAATGATGGTTAAATTTGCATATGTTTATGCTGAGCATATTCATTTTTCAACGTGACATTCGAATAGACATAAATTTCTAAAATCAAAATTCAGATGTTTACAAAATAAAAATTAAAATTCAATGAGCTCATTGAACAAAAATTTTCAATCAATAAAAAAATATTAAAAAAAATATATCATTATACAACAATTACATTTTCATTTTGTTTCTTTAGTTTACAATTAATTTTTTTGTGAACAGCTTAATAATTAAACATTGAGTTATTCTACATCAATTCATTTACTGTGAATTATTAAAGTTTACAATACAAAATTTTTGTTCAATGAGCTCATTGAATTTTAATTTTTATTTTGTAAACATCTGAATTTTGATTTTAGAAATTTATGTCTATTCGAATGTCACGTTGAAAAATGAATATGCTCAGCATAAACATATGCAAATTTAACCATCATTGATGATTGGCGGTTCTTTACAAATGAAAACGATTATGATTGTTTTCATTCATGCGTTTTTCTAAGAAAAATGCATAATTACTCATGATGTAGAGCCATAATCTGATTGGTTTTAAGAAATTTTTTGATAAGTTATGCAAGTTTTGAAAGCAATTTGGTCCATATCTTCAGAATATTTTGAACGCACACAGAAATTGATAGTGATGCAAAATTTTGGAAAAAAACAATCATTTTTAGATAATGTCATACAAGTTAAGCATCATCGGTTCCGGAAACTTCGGCAGCTGCATTGCACGCCACTGTGCAGCTAACATCAAGAATGTTCCATCAATGGATCAACACATTAAGATGTGGGTTCTCGAAGAAGTCGTCAATGGCGAATCTCTTATCCACACTATCAACACTACACACGAGAATATCAAGTATCTCCCAGGATACAACCTCGGCGAAAACGTCGAAGCAATTGGCGACGTCGTCGAATGTTGTGACGCAGATTTCTTCATCTTCGTCGTTCCACACCAGTTCCTCCCAGCAACACTCGAGAAGATGAAAGGCCACGTCAAGAAGACTGCTACAGGTTGCCTCCTCACAAAGGGAATCAACTTCAAGGATGGCAAGATCCAGCTCCTCACAGACACAGTCGAAGAAATCCTCGGCATCAAGTGCGGTTCTCTCATGGGTGCCAACATTGCTAACGAGATTGCTCGCGGTGACTTCTGCGAGTCAACATTAGCATTCCCAGACATCCCAGAGCGCGATACATGGAAGCAGCTCTTCGACTCACCAAAGTTCAAGATCTCATGCACCAACGACATTGTTACACAGCAGTTGAGTGGCACAATGAAGAACATCATTGCCATCGGCGGCGGCATTGTTGATGGCCTTAACATGGGTCAGTCAACAAAGGCAGCAATCCTCCGTGAAGGCTTCGTCGAGATCTACGAGTTCGCCAAGATGATGTTCCCAGACAGAGGCGTCGACATCCTCACAATGATTGAGTCATGTGGTTTCGGCGACATTGTTGCCTCATCATACGGTGGCCGTAACAGGAAGTGCGCCGAGTACTTTGTCAAGTCAGGCAAGTCATTCAAAGAGTGCGAATCAGAACTTCTTAATGGTCAGAAACTTCAAGGTACACTTGCCGCTGCAGAGGTCTACAAGATCTTAGAAGAACGCAATGCAACAGACAAGTTCCCACTCTTGACAACGATCCAGCTCATCAGCGAAAGAAAAGTTGACACGTCCGAGATCATCAACTACAGATCTAACAAGGCAGCAAAGACAGCATCTGCTTAATCGTTATATAACTATGTACACATACTATATATATATTAATACTAATATTAATAATAAACATACTATCCTTCTATCCTTAATTTCAAGTTCTTTTTTTCTTTTTATTCTTCTTTTTTGGCAGGACAACGTCGTTCTCTGCTGTTCTGCTTAGGTACATATCATATAAACAACTCCTGATATTACTTACAGAGATAAATTTCAGAAATGATTTGATTTCTGATTCATATTTTTTGTTATGTAATGATTAATAGTATCTATGAAGAATAGATTATATAGTGAATACATCTTAATATATGCTGATTTGTGAAAATAATTTTCTATTTGATCTAACATTTTGTAGATTTGTCAAAAATATTATTCGATATATGTTTGTTAAGTTGATGGAAATGTGTCCGAAGTAGTATAGGTATCGGATCCTACGAACTATTTTGAAAAACTAATTTTGTAATATGCTTAAGAAATAGCCGAAAATATACGAATTTCATGCATAAAAGGGCTCAAAATACACACTATCATTAGTTTTTTAAAGCAAACTAACTAACGTTATGAATATTTCAAAGCAAATTAACGGCGGAGGTTTTTGTGATATGGAAAAATGTTAGTTGCTCAATTATCTCACTATTGGATGGACTTTTATCGAGCGAAATTTTGGCTGTAAAGACAATTCTGATATTGGTAACATGGTGATAAGAACAAATAGTCAGTTTGCGTGGTTTATGATGAGATAATTTCGATTTAAAAAAAAACATAAAAATTGATTTTAATGAGCGATTATATTTGAATATGCTCTCCTAATTTGAAGGAACTGGTTAAATCATGAATTGATCATGAATAATTTTTTTTCAAAATAACAATTATAATTTCATATTCATTATAAGTTGAAAATATATCATAAAGACTTTATGAATGATAAATTCGTAAAAAACAAGTTAGTTTGTTTCTGAAAATAATAATAATAAAAACCAATTTAGACCCAATAATTTTTGGCGGGATAATTGAGATGTTACGATTGAATTAAAAAAAAAAGCGGTAATACATTTTTACAATGATGAAGAGGCTGGCAACCTCTGAGTCAAAGCACTTGTTAATGCAATGATGAAGAGGCTGGCAACCTCTGAGTCAAAGCACTTGTTAATGCAATGATGAAGAGGCTGGCAACCTCTGAGTCAAAGCACTTGTTAATGCAATGATGAAGAGGCTGGCAACCTCTGAGTCAAAGCACTTGTTAATGCAATGATGAAGAGGCTGGCAACCTCTGAGTCAAAGCACTTGTTAATGCAATGATGAAGAGGCTGGCAACATCTGAGTTAAAATACTTTTCCCAGTGTGGGAGTAATTTGAAAAAAAAATTTAGTTCATATATTGAAAAAAACAAAAGTAAAAATTAAAGTTTATAGGTTGTGTTTTGATGAGCTAATTGTTAAGATATTGTAGTTCAAAGAAAAATTGGAGTTTCGAGGAAGTGTCTCGACAGAGGAAACTTTCATATCGAATGTTGCCTCTGTCGAGATGTATGTGACAGGCAAAGTGCAATCACCTATCAATATTGCACTTTGCCTGTCAAAAGTTCTTCGCATCTCTTGAGGTGTGAGGAAGTTTCTCGACAGAGGAAACTTTCATATCGAATGTTGCCTCTGTCGAGATGTATGTGACAGGCAAAGTGCAATCACCTATCAATATTGCACTTTGCCTGTCAAAAGTTCTTCGCATCTCTTGAGGTGTGAGGAAGTTTCTCGACAGAGGAAACTTTCATATCGAATGTTGCCTCTGTCGAGATGTATGTGACAGGCAAAGTGCAATCACCTATCAATATTGCACTTTGCCTGTCAAAAGTTCTTCGCATCTCTTGAGGTGTGAGGAAGTTTCTCGACAGAGGAAACTTTCATATCGAATGTTGCCTCTGTCGAGATGTATGTGACAGGCAAAGTGCAATCACCTATCAATATTGCACTTTGCCTGTCAAAAGTTCTTCGCATCTCTTGAGGTGTGAGGAAGTTTCTCGACAGAGGAAACTTTCATATCGAATGTTGCCTTTCTCCAGATGTATTACAAATAAAAAAGAATTCCATCCCAATTACACTCTATAATACAACACTATCAATATGATCAAATCACATCCATATTAAAATATGAAAAATCCAAAATCATTCTCTCTCAAAATCATATATCCACACATATCACAACGCGTTGTTGCAATTTCTTCATAAATACTAATTCCAATCTTATATAATATACAAAAAATATCTTTATTTAAATATATCTTAGTACATTCAATAATAATTATACTAGGTACATCTATCACATTAAGTAAACACATATTTATTATGATTTTAATAAAATTTAGTTTATATCTTTTTCAATATATAGTATTTATGCAACACCATATGGTGTTTTCTCTCCCATATCTTCCATATGTCATTATAAGAGGGCATCCACATTTTGCATGTTTTTCATCTTTGAAACGGTCTATTGACCATGCTTTGAGACGAAAAACATGCAAAAAAACGAAAGATGCGTAGTTGAGTTTGTACCATGAGTGGTGCATGATCCGATATATGTTGCGCCTCAATTTTGAGATTTTGCCAAAAGATGAATAAAATTGATAAAGAATAATCAGAAAAGAAAGGATATATAAAGATATTTTAGTGTTTTATATATTTGTAATATGTTTATCAAATTATTGGGATATGATTGGGATAATTTTGTTGTGCATGAAAATTCGGTTCACTTCACTTCTGACAAAAGTGACAAGTTTACATGGCAAAAATATATAGGGTATTTTTTTTTAAAAGTAGTTATCTTTATATATAAAAATAAAACTTTTGATATATTTGAGTAAATGATTTATTAATTTATTTATTTATTTTTTTAAATCAAATCATATAAATATATATAATATATAATAGTGAAATAGAACAAGAGATAATTATTGATGATTAAATTGTAGACGAGGATAAAAGTTTAGATAAATTAATAAAATTAGTGTGGAATCAGACAAATTTCGGGTTGTTTGGGAAGGAATTGTTGGCTATGATGTACTGATTCATGATCAGTACATCATAGCCAACAATTCCTTATACAAAGTTCAAAAACTTGGGTGCAATCAGAACTGATTGCACCCAAGTTTTTGAACTTTCCATTAACAATTGTTCAATCACATTTATACAACCCAAATCTATACCAATCATACTCTTATTCATACATCATATTTTAAAAACTTTTTTGCAATATGATATATGTAAAGTGTCAAAAATGAATTGAACCGAATTTTCATGCATTACATGATTGGGATAATTTAATCAGAAAAATTTGAGATGAGAAGAATTTCTATACAGAGGAAACTTTCATATCGAATGTTGCCTCTGTCGAGAAACTTCCTCACACCTCAAGAGATGCGAAGAACTTTTGACAGGCAAAGTGCAATATTGATAGGTGATTGCACTTTGCCTGTCACATACATCTCGACAGAGGCAACATTCGATATGAAAGTTTCCTCTGTCGAGAAACTTCCTCACACCTCAAGAGATGCGAAGAACTTTTGACAGGCAAAGTGCAATATTGATAGGTGATTGCACTTTGCCTGTCACATACATCTCGACAGAGGCAACATTCGATATGAAAGTTTCCTCTGTCGAGAAACTTCCTCACACCTCAAGAGATGCGAAGAACTTTTGACAGGCAAAGTGCAATATTGATAGGTGATTGCACTTTGCCTGTCACATACATCTCGACAGAGGCAACATTCGATATGAAAGTTTCCTCTGTCGAGAAACTTCCTCACACCTCAAGAGATGCGAAGAACTTTTGACAGGCAAAGTGCAATATTGATAGGTGATTGCACTTTGCCTGTCACATACATCTCGACAGAGGCAACATTCGATATGAAAGTTTCCTCTGTCGAGAAACTTCCTCACACCTCAAGAGATGCGAAGAACTTTTGACAGGCAAAGTGCAATATTGATAGGTGATTGCACTTTGCCTGTCACATACATCTCGACAGAGGCAACATTCGATATGAAAGTTTCCTCTGTCGAGAAACTTCCTCACACCTCAAGAGATGCGAAGAACTTTTGACAGGCAAAGTGCAATATTGATAGGTGATTGCACTTTGCCTGTCACATACATCTCGACAGAGGCAACATTCGATATGAAAGTTTCCTCTGTCGAGAAACTTCCTCACACCTCAAGAGATGCGAAGAACTTTTACAAGCAAAGTGCAATATTGATAGGTGATTGCACTTTGCCTCTCCAAACTCTCAAATATGCTTCTCACCATACATCAAACGGGCAAATTTCTCCTTAAATTTCTCTTTATTTGAAAGGTTTTCAACAAAGCTATACCTTAAAAATCTGTGCTTGTTATATCTGATCATTTGTGTGTTAGGGGAGGTAAATTTATTCCACTAGAGCAAATTTTTTCCGAGGTTTCTCATTCGATGAGAAACCTCGGAACAACTCTTCAATAGTGTAATGAATTTGTGGTATTTGTCCTGCAAACAGCGAGAGAACTTGTCTGTAATTCGTTTATGATGAAGTTATCTGGATGTCTCTCAGATGAGGAAGGAAGTCCAGAAAACTTCACCATAAGTTAATACTTGTGTATTTCTATGACTCTCTTCACGTCAGAGAATGTAAATTTACTCGAATAGGGCAAAGTTCTGCTCAAGTTTCTCATTTGATGAGAAACCTCGGAAGAACTTTGCCCTAAGGTAATGTATATGTGATTGTTGGCCCGCAGAGAAACAAGGAATCTGTTTGTATTTCGTTTATGGTGAAGTTCTCGGATGTTCTCTCAAATTATATGGAAAATCAAGATAACTTCACCATAATTTGTTGTAGTTGTGATTCTCTGGCTCTTTGCCGGCCAGAAAACTAGAAAATAGTTTATAGTGGGAGTATGCTCGATGAATACCTACTCACTAAAAATATACGTTATTTTTTGTTTTCCTATGGGAAAATAGTTTTGATTTTTATACTATCGTATGCTTTGTTATTGCATG